CTCCATGGTATACATATACCACATTTTATTAATCCACTCATGTATTGATGAGCACTTGGGTTGTTTCCACATCTTTATTGCAACCAATTTCAATTTCCATTTCATTTTTTTCTTGTCTCTTCTTGTTTTCTGTTTCTTACTATTTATTCAATGGTGTCTGTTCTTCCTTTTGCTGCTTCCAGTTTTGCCTTTATTTCTGTGATGGTTTTATTTTCCTTTCTGTTTCCTCCTTTATCTCTGAAATAGCTCCTATTTCATTTCCTTTTGTTGTTCACCATCTCTTCTCTGAGCTCTTGCATTCCTGCTTTATATTCTTATTTTATAGGGATGATTACTTAATGAATATTATAAAATTCATGCTGATATGTTTAGTCACAATTTTCATCTGTTTTATGGCAATATTTATTTGGTGAGAATTCTGCATCCATCATTTATTTCCCTGTTCCTTTCATCTCATTTTCATGTAGTATCTTTGTGTATAACTTCTGCTGGAGTGTTTTGTTTTGCTTTGCTGGATAATATCTTTAATTACAATAAGTTTTCTTTAGACCATCTTTTTGCAGGAGACACATGTGGAGGAGGAGATCAAGGCCATAATCCAGGCTAGCAAAAACTTAAGATCTAGGGTTGTTGAGTATATGAATTCTTGTAGTCTCTACATTTTCCCAACCAGTGAATATAGGCAGCTATGGGCCTCTCATAACAATCTTTCCCCTCCACTGCCTCACTGACCAGTTGCTCGCTCTTTCAGCCCTTTCTTTTCTGCTTCTCAAAACCAAACCAAGTCCAGACAAATTCCATTTACCATCCTTTAAACTCTGTTCTTGTCATTATAGATAAAGAATTTATGCTTCAGAGTGCCCCTCACCTTGAATGTTGTACTTTTGCTGGCTTTTTCTGATTCTATTTTTATTTTTAAAACATGCATGTATATATAAACATACATATATACTAGATTGTAAGCTCCATGAGGACAGATACTATGTCTGCTTTTGCTTACCTTTGTATATCCAATGCCTAGCACATAATAGATATTTGGTTAATGTATGAGTAAAGAAAATAATACATATGTATATAAATTATATATATTTATATATAAATATAAAGTCTTGAAGGATACGCAACAATCTTAACATTTACTACCCCTTGGAACAGGAATTAGTGAGTTTAGAGGACTTGTAATTTTATTTCTGTGTTTGAATTTTTCAATGAACATGTCCTTTTAATAATTAAAACAAAAAATACATTTAGAAAAATTATTCTGACTTGTTAAAAGTTTGTATTTCTTAAAATTATGTATTTCCAATGAAATAATGCCTAAATTATGAGCCCAGCATATGAGTAATGTAAATAAATCATTAAGCTACAAACTGTAAATACATAAATTGAGGGAAAGTGCAAAGCTGGTGAATCATAAGCTCCTGAGGGAAAATTGGAAAATGCCATCCTTTTGAAAAATCTACTCCAAATCGGAGTTAATTAAGAACTGTAAAAACAGTGACTAAAATTTTAGTGCTATAGGAATTGGCCTTTACAAAAGGATTACCCCTGACATGCCATTATATTTGTGACCTAAGGAAAGCAGCTCACCAATTTATTCTGCAAAGTCTTTATTAAATTCCTCAGGGCTACTAGGAATTGCGGAAACAAGGAAATGTATGACTGTCTCTGTCCTTAAGAAATTTACAGTAGATGGGAAACATAATAAATTACACATATGCAAGGCAAAATGAAATAACTAATAGGGATACAGAATATGTGGGACCACAGAGAAGAAATGATCTTTTCCAAAAGGTGGTAATTGGGGCAGGTGTGGTGGCTCACACCTGTAATCCCTGCACTTTGGGAGGCTGAGGTGGGAGCATCACTTGAGGCCAGGAGTTAGAGACCAGCCTGGGCAACATAGCCAGAACCTGTCTGTATCAATAACAACAACAACAACAAAAACCCCAAACCAAAAAGCTAATATTCGAACTTACTCTTAAAGATTAAATAGGATTTTAATGGTAAGAACCAAATGAACAAAAGCAAGGAGTATAGGAAAACATTGTTAGTTTTGGGATTGTCTCTTACTCAGGTGTTACATAGTAGGAGGTGAGGCTATGTCTTAGTCTGTTTGTGCTACTATAACATAATACCACCCACAGACTGGGTAATTTATAAAGAACAGAAATTTATTTTTTCACAGTTCTGGAGGCTGGGAAGTCTGTAATCAAGGTGCCAGCAGGTTCCGTTGTTTGATGAGGGCTGCTCTCTGCTTCCAAGATGGTGCCTTGTTGCTGCATCCTCCAGAAAGGAGGAATGCTGTGTCCTCAGAGGGTGGAAGGTGGAAGGCCAAGAGAAGCTAATGCTATGTGAAGCCTCTTTTGTAAGGGCCTAAATCCTGTTCACGCAGTGGGAGCCCTCAGGGCCTAACCACCTATGAAAGGCCCCACCTCTTAATACCATCACATTGGCCATTAAGTTTCAACACCTGGATTTTGGGAGGGGACATATTCAAACCATAGCAGGCTGAAAGTATGTGGTTTATTGTGTGCCCCTTCCCAATAATAAATTAAGCCACTAGTATCCTCCTGGTTCAACTTACCTCATCTCTGATTTGTACCACTGCAGTAGCCTTCCAACTGTCTTCTCTGATTCTACTCTTGACTCCCTGTAAATCCAATAGCCACACAGCGGCCAGAGTATTATAACATAAATCAGTTCAGGTCAGTATCCTTGCACTTCACATTTACTTAGATTTAATAAAATCCAAAGTCCTTACCAGGATCTACAAGGCCATAGATGATCTGGCCCTTGGTTACCTTTCCTACCACCCTACCTCATAGCTCAATGTACTCTAGCCCTACATTATCTCAATAACACCTTGTACTTTCCTGCCTTTGGGCCTTTGTATTTGCCATTCCCTTTGCATAGAACACTCTTGTCCTGGATATTCATATGGCTTGCTCTCCCACTTGCTAAAGTGTCACCCTCCCCTGAGACCCCACCCTTTCTAAAATAGCAATTTTCATCACTATATACCCCCTTAACCTATATTTTTTCTTTACAGCACACATCACTACTTGACATTATACTATTAAATATATATTGTTTATTGTTTGTCTCCCCAACTAGAATCTAAGTTCCATGCAGGTAAAAAGTTGTCTATCTTATTCACTTTTTATCCCTACCTCCTAAATCTCTGCTTGGACCATAGTAGGACTCAATAAATATTTAAGTGAAATGCTACTATAGCACCAGAAAACATATCATTAGAGAGTCATTCATTTGAGTATTATAGCAGTTTGATCTTTGAGAGCCCTCTATGCAAAAATCCTTGGGAGAGCCCACAATGTAAGTCATTATCAGCTTACACCTTGGAGAAATATTTAGAAAAATACCTAATGGAGATTGAAGTTGGCATATCAAGTAACAAAGGGCAGGTCAGGTTTCCAGGAAAAGAAAAAGGAAATTTAAAGGGAAGTTGGGATTATACCAAAGATAATTTTGCTTACAGTGAAATATCAAAGTATTTGATCTGACCATAGTGGAATTAAATTATAAATCTATAATATGAAGTTATCTGTAAAATCTCCTAATATTTAGAAATTAAACAACACACTTCTAAATTATCCAATGGGCCAAAGAAGAAGTGTCAAGGAAAATTAAGAATATTTTGAATTGAAGGAAGATGAAGCTACAATATATAAAATTTGGAAGATACAGCTAAAGCACTATTTAGACAAAAATGTATGGCATTAAATTCTTCTATTAGCAAAAGAAAAAAAGTCTCAAATAATCTAAGCCTCCATTTCAAGAAATTAGAAAAAAATAGCAAATTAAACCCAATCAAGCCAAAGAAAAGAAATGATAAAGATAAGAGCACAGATCGATAAAATTTAAAACAGAAAACAATAGATAAAATCAATGAAACCAAAAGCTGTGTTTCTTTCTTTTGAAAAGATTAATACAATTGATAAGCCTCTAGCCAGGCAGATCAAGACACAAATTAACAATATCAGGCATAGAAGTGGAACTATCACTAGAGATCCTACAGATATTAAAAAAGGTAATGAGGGAATATTATGAACAGTTTTATGCCATGAATTTAAAATCTTAGGTGAAATGTACAAATTTCTTGAAAGTCATAAACTACTGAAGCTCCCTCAAGAAGAAATAGACATAGTCCTATGTCTATTAAATTAATTGAATTCATAGTTTAAAATCTTCCAACAAAGAAAACTCTGCTGAAGAATTCTATTTAATATTTCTATTACTAGTAATGAAGTTCAAGAGTAAGCAATATCAATGGATAATGATAGAAGTCAAACGAATTGTTACCTCTGGTAGGGTGTTATTGACTAGAAGAGAGCACAAGGGAACCTTATGAAGTGTTGGAAGTATGCTTTATCATGATCTGGATAGTGATTACATGAGTTTCAACATATGCAAAAATTCATCAAACTGTTTAAGATTAGAGCACTTCATTCAGTTTATTGTATGTGTGCTATACTTCGAAACATTTTTAAATGTTCAATATACCAAGGATGAATGAAAGCTGTCTCACATAGTATGGTGCATGCACCTGACATAAGATTCTTCCCGTGGCGAAGCAGCACTTCTTAACTAGAAGATACAGTGCTGCATAATGCACTCAGCCATTAGAGTGAGCGTGGGCAAGTTGAAAGTTCACAAGAGGCAAGTAAACATTGGATTTGAAGTAGAATCTTAATGATAGCAACAGGACTTTTTCAGGCTAGTTAGGAGCATGATGGCAATAGTTTTAGAAAATATAGGCAATGCTGGCGAATGCATTACAGGGTGCTGAAAGTAGTAGTGAACTTAAAGATTTCAAAATGCTAAAAAGAAAATCTGTGTACAGAGGCTAGGATGACCTTCAAAGTGTCAGTAAAATTAATTTTTCCCCAAAAGAAAACCTCTGCAGTCAGAGAGATTAGAACAAGAGAGAATAATGGAATGTAATCATAGAGAATATTGCATTTTTGCCTCTGTCTTAGGGGACTTCTCAAATGATCCATGTGAGACATTGCTTCTGCTGTACGAGTTTGAAGTTAAAGCCAAAATGAATGATCCATCCTTGGATAGCTTCCTGGAATCAGTGTGGGAGCTGCCTCATTTAGAAAGTAAAACATTTGAAACAATCGCATGTAAGAGCTATGTTTGTGCTTTTGTAAGGCCGGTGCCCATTTAGATCCTATTACTTTTTTTTTTTCCTTTTCTTTTCTCTCTTACCTCTGGTTGGGAGAAAATGTTTCCCCATAGTACTTTGTTTTTCCTAAGACTATTTCATGTTACAATCATTTGTGCATTTATCTTTTTCACTCTATAAGATCACAATCTCCTTAGGGTCACGAATAATAATTACCTATATTTATTGTACTTACAAACCCTAGCAAAGTGCTTTGCTCATAATAGGTGCTCAAATCTATTCAATGTGAGGAATTTAATTATGTAACTACACAATAGGGGGAGCTCAAACTTCAGAAAGTTTTTCTCTGCTAGCTAGAAATGATAATTGAGCACTTCACCAATCAAAGGTGATGCAATCTTAGCAATTTATTGAAATATACGGAGAAATACTGGTAATATTTTTTAACACAACTGCTACCCTCAAATTTCTGGTTGAATTTTAAGTGGGTTTGGAGCTCAGAGCCTTTTTGGGAATATGTTGCAGAAAATAGCCTTATTATCTTCCTTTTTAATTCTCTCATCCTCCTCAGGACCATGCATGTGGTTAATAAAGCTATTAGGTAACCCCAAGTGCAGAAGAGGCACATCTGCCTTTCCTTGGTCTTGCCAAGACAGAATTCCTAGAGCCATGGAGCAGATGATGTATTCTTTATGGACATGTTATGATGACCACTGCTCCTTGTATAATGGAACTCCAATTCTAGAGGCCTGTTAAATGCATCTGGAAGTTTTAGACTTAGTTATCTCTGATTCTCACTCTTATGTCAAGTATTGCCTATTTTTAGTGTCAGACAAAAATCGTACACTGTAGTATAAATCTGCTTTTGATTAGAGTCCTTTTACTGATCTGCTTTCTGTTTCCTTCTTAGTGTGCCCTTCCTTGACTCTCATTCATAAGATTATTGCTTCACCTGTATGAGTGTGTGCAGGGTCATAGAAACAGTAAGTTTTCTATTGATATTTGCTGAAGAAAGGATATAATCTGGTAATCCTACCCTGCTACTCTACCCAGAAAGTAGAAACTATTTCCAAAAACATGTGTGGATTCATCATTTATAAAATTCATTGTTTTGTTTGTTCATCTGTTTCAGACCAGTTTCATTAGAGAAAGCAAGTTGTAGCCTAGGATGAAAACCGTGATGAATGAGATTATGGTGTTCACCTTTTTTCTTCTCTTCCTCTAGCATTAGCAATGGAAATGCCTGCATACTATCCTTCTATCGCTGTCAAGGCCTTGAAAAGGGCTTTAGTGCTCCACAAAAAACAAGAATCAATTGATGTTTTAAAATACAGGTTAGTAAATGTAATCCAACACCTAATCCAGGCTTTCTGATAGCCAAAACAACTATAATCAATGCCTGATAAGTAATCTGTCATATTCAACTGGCCCAACCTAAAAGATGATCGAGGGATGATCTGGGAGGCACTCTTGTGAACAGCTCCATATTGAGACCAAGAATTATTTAGCAAGATCAAGGAGTCTGGATTTCCCAAAAAGAAAAAGAGGGGGAAAGTTGCTTCTTTATGTGAGTTTGTGTATATAGTAAAACTACTAAGTACCTTTTTTTCTTTGTTTCATTAATAAATATTCCAAATGTACAGAAAAATACAGAGGTTGACATAACAAACATCAATGTATCCACCACCCAAATTTATTTATTTTTTTCTTTTTTTTTTTTTTTTTAAGAGACTGGGTCTTACTATGTTGCCCAGCTGGATATGAACTCCTGGGCTCAAGTGATCTTCCTGCCTCAGCCTCCTGAGTAGCTGGGACTGCAGGCTCTATCACCTAAATTTAACAAATGTTAACATTTTGATATATTTGTCTCCATTTTTTTTCTAAATTCTTTTCTTTAAGCATCAACAAGTGCTATATAAAATATTATTTGTTAAAGATTTTTTGTTTTCTATGTCCAGACATAGGGGAAAATAGATGTTGTGTGATTTTTTTTTCTGGAAAACTTCATTATGGTCTTCCTGTTCTAAGTCATGAGAGACAGTTCTTGTGGAATTCCCAATTTAAATCCCAATTCTCTTGCCCATTTAAGGAAATAACAAGATGCTTTAAAATGCCTGTAGATTGAACCATCTCATAAAATAAAATAATCAGCCACAACTCCTTTGTGCAGGAAACTAAAAAAAGAGTGAAAACCTAGGCATGATAAAAGGAAGGATTGGTCAATTTGTTTTACAGCTTCAAAAATCTGTCTTCTGAGGTTGGAGGCCAGATAAAACTGAAGGGAGAACAGAAATGTTTTGAAGTTCTTAGTCTGGGATGAAATCCAGATTTTACTTATCTTAGCCATGACACCACTGATTTATTTCCTTATGGGATGAGTTTTGTCTTTTTGATTTTCAGCAAATGTATGCACAACTTGATTAACCTCTCAGTGCCAAATGCGGCATCAAATGCAGACCTCTGTCCCCAGGAAGAAGTTTGGGGCTATTTTGAAGATGCTCTGAGCCTTATTAGCCGCACTGTAAGTCAAATAGTGATAGTAAACTTTCAGCTAATTTAAAAGAACTGTACTGTCTTGTGTATCAGAAATTACATAGAATAATACTTTCTGATATGAGTTGTAGGATAAATTCATATTACGACACTACAAAATTTCCCTGGATTTCTGAAATGTAAATAGTTAAAAGTAGAAATTTTCTAATACAAATATATCATAGGTCAAAGTAGCAGTACCACTATGCATTATGAATTATTTTGTATTTTCAAAGCCTAGTGGAGTCATTACTTCCCCGATGATGATATGAACCTTTTGGAAAAGTTTATTGTTATTCCCACCATTTCCCTGAGGCAGGTGATAGAGTAGAACACTAAAGACCTGTATTTTAGTTCTTCCTCTGCTGATTTCTTTTTCTCTTCAGTGCAGGTTTATTCAGTGATCTTAAATTAGCTTTATTGTGATATAATATACATATCATAAAGCTTACCCATTGTTCATACATAATTCAGTAAATTTATAGAGGTATGCAACTCCTCACCACAATTCTTATATCTGGCCTCTTTTATTTAGCATAAATGTTTTTGTGGTTCATCTGTATTGTGGTATTATCATTATTTCATTGCTCCTTTTTTTGCTGAATAATATTCTATTGAATGGATATACCACATCTTTTTATTGAATGGGTATATCACATTTGTTTATCCATTCATCAGTTCGTAGACATTTGAGGAATTGAATGTTTTTGGCCATCATAAATAATGCTGCTACGAACATTCATGTACAAGACTTTGTGTGAGCATACATTTTGAATTCTCTTGGATATATACCTAGGTGTGGAATTGCTGAGTCATTTGGTAACTCTGTGTTTAACTTTTTGAGGAGATGCAAACTGTTTTCCAAAGTGGCTGCACCGTTTTACATTCCCACTAGCAATGTATGAGGATTCCAATTTCTCCACACCTCATCAACATTTGTTATTGTCCATCATTTTTACTATAGCCATCCTAGTGGGTATGGAGTGGTAGTTCATTGTTGTTTTGTATTTTCTTTCTTTCTTTCTTTCTTTCTTTCTTTCTTTCTTTCTTTCTTTCTTTCTTTCTTTCTTTCTTTCTTTCTTTCTTTCTTTCACAAAGTCTTACTCTATTACCCTTGCTATAGTGCAGTGGTGTCATCCTAGCTCACTGTAACCTCAAACTCCTGGGCTCAAGTGATCCTCCTGCCTCAGTCTCCTGAGTAGCTGGAACTACAGGTGCATGCCACGACACCTGGCTAATTTTTCTATTTTTAGTAGAGACAAGTTCTTGTTCTTGCTTAGGCTGGGCCTTGAACTCCTGAGCTCAAGTGATCCTCCTGCCTTGGCCTCCCAGAGTGCTAGGATTAAAGGCCTGAGCCACACCCAGCCTGTATTTTCTTTCTCTCTCTCTTTCTCTCTCTGTCTCTCTGTCTGTCTCTCTCTCTCTTTATTTCTTTCTTTCTTCTTTCTTCTTTCTTTCTGAGACAGGGTCTTGCTCTGTCGCCTGGACTAGAGTGCAGTGGCGTGATCATAGCTCACTGCAACCTCAAACTCTTTTCACCTCAGCCTCCCCAGTAGCTGGGACTATAGGTGTGCACCACCACGTATGGCTAATTTTTCTATTCTTTGTAGAGACAGAGTCTTGCTCCTGGTCAGGCTGGTCTCGAACTCCTGGCCTCAAGTGATCCTCAGCCTCCCAAGTGCTAGGATTACAGGCGTGAGCCACTGCACCTGGCCTCTTTTGTATTCTCTTGATGGCTAATGATGTTGATAGCTTTTTCATGTACTTATTGACCATTAGTATATCTTCTTTGGATAAATGTCTATTCAATTATTTTCCCATTTTAAAAATTAGGTTGTCTTTTTATTGAGTTGTAAGAGTTCTTTATATATTCTGGATACAAGTTCTTTATCAGATATATGACTTGTAAATATTTTCTCCCAGTCTCTGGCTTGTCTTTTCATTTTTTTAAAGACATAATTTGAAGAGCAAAAGTTTTGAATTTTGATGAAGTTCAGTTTATCAGTTTTTTTATGGGTAGTGTTTTTGGTCATGCTAAGAAATCTTTGCCTAGCCCAAGTTTAAAAAACTATTCTCCTATGTATGTTTTATACTTTTATCTCTTACATATAGGTCTATAATCCATTTTAATTACTATGTGTGAGGTGAGGTAAAGGTCTCTAAATGGTATTTTGTTTGTTTATTTTTGCATATGGATATCACTCTTCTGTTGGACTTCAGTTTTCTCATTTGTAAAATGGGAATAATACCTACTCGGACTCTTCTACACTGGGGTTGTAAGGATCAATGGAAATAATATATGTGTTGTAAACTTTAACAGCTCATATATATGTAAGGTAGTATTGTTATTATAAGGGAGCTATAAATACATTAAGGTGGCTACTTGGCTTGCTTAACGTCACATGGAAAGTCATTATTTGAGTTCATGTTAATATCTAAGGATCCTAACTGCTCTCTGCTCAAATGCTTCTTCATATATAAATATAGTTGTTATCTCTGTACCAGATAATAACGTTTCATGATATACTATGGTGGTCCCATAAGATTATAATGGAGCGGAAACATTCCTATCGCCTTGTGACATCTTAGCCATCGTAACAACATAGTGCAAGACCTTACTCGTGTGCTTGTGGTGATGCTGGTGTAAACAAACCTACTGCACTGCCAGTCATATAAAAGTCTAGCACGTGCATTATGTATAGTACATAATACTTGATAATGACTATGTTACTGGTTTACCTGTTTACTATACTATACTTTTTATTGTTATTTTAGAGTGTACTCCTTCTACTTATAAAACAAAAAGTTAACTGTAAAATAATGTCAGGCAGGTTCATCAGTAGGTATTACAGAAGAAGGCATTAGTACCATGGGAAATGACAGCTCCATGCAGGTTATTGCCCCTGAGGACCACCCAGTGGGACAAGATGTAGAGTTGGAAGACAGTGATACTGATGACCCTGAGCCTCTGTAGGCCTAGGCTAATGTGTGTGTTTGTGTCTTAGTTTTTAACAAAAAAGTTTAAAACAAAATTTAAAATAGAAAAAAGCTTATAAGAAAATATATAAAGAAAATATTTTGGTATAGTTGTACAATGTGTTTGTGTTTTAAGCTGTGTTATTACAAGAGTCAAAAACTTTAAAAAATGTAAAAGTTTATAAAGTAAAAAAGGTTACAGCAAGCTAAAGTCAGTTTATTATTGAAGAAAAATATTTTTCATAAATTTAGTGTAGCCTAAGTGTACAGTGTTTATAAAGTCAACAGTAGCTTTTAGGGTAAAATGAGGTTGAGAAAAGAAAAAAAAAGAAAAAATCAAAAAATAGTAGCATACAGTAATGTCCCAGGCCTTCACATTCACTCACCACTGATTGACTCACCCAGAGCAACTTTCAGTCCTGCAAGCTCCATGAGTGCCCTATGCAGATGTGCCATTTTTAATCTTTATACTATATTTTTACAGTACCTTTTCCAGGTGTAGATATGTTTAGACACACAAATACTTACCATTGTGTTACAATTGCTGACAGTATTCAGTACAGTAACATGCTGTACAGGTTTGTAGCCTAGAAGCAATAGGCTACCAAATAGGCTAGGTGTGTGGTAGGCCATACCATCCAGATTTGTGTAAGTACACTCTATGACGTTCTCACAACTCTCTAATGATTGCGATTGCACCTAATGATGCATTTCTCAGATTGTATCCCCATTGGTAAGCGACACATGACTGTATCTGCAAATCACAACAGATGGTGGAAAAATATAGCAAGGTGATAACCTGGTCCAAACTAGCATTAACTTATCAAAACCTAGAATTCTCTTGGAGCTGTGTGTGTAATAATTATGGCCTGTTTGAATTTAAGTATTTTTAAAAAAAAAAAAAAAACTTCAACATTGAGTATTTTGGATTTTTTCCTTTACTATTTTGTGGGAAAAATAGAATATTCTATTTCTAAGCCATCAGCCTCATCTGGAATTTGCAGTTTATATTAGTGTTTGCCATAGTAACTAATACAAAGTAAAATTAGACTGTACTATAACTTCAATTGATCAATTTCCAAGTTAGTGTAAGGCTAAAACTTCTCTGAGCATTTTGGTTTTGCTTCTTTTATTCTATTTAATACATTACAGTTCCAATAATACATTACAGCTCTTGAGTTGCCTGTTAGAGAGCTTAATGTTTGCCTACTTTTCTGATGAGTTTCCCATCCATTATTGCTCATCCCCTGAAACATGACTGATTAATTGGCTTTTTAATGAAGAGATTAGTTTAATAACCCTCTTGGCTCTTTATATTGTACATGTTGCTTCTTCCTGTTTGAATGTGCTGTGCATCTCCTTTGTTTTAAATACTTGGGAGAAAATTCTGCCTTTGATTGGCTTTTTAAATGACCAATCACTCATTCATTCTTTATTGAGCATATAACCTTTATCTAGTGCCTCCATACACTGGCAAAAAGGCTATTACACAAATATAAAACCTCATGCCTCACAATATCATGCTTTATAGTTTACAACGCACTCTTACTTCCATTATCTCATACAACCTCCACAGCAATTCTGTGAAGTAGACAATGCTGCTATTATTATCCTTGATTTCCAAATGAGAAAATTTTTAAGATTCAAAAAATCAAGTTACCAATTTGCCTAGTCATTCATGGTTAATGAATGAGGGTCAAGACTAGAACCCAGATCTTCTGACCTTACATTGTATTCCATTAAGGCTGCTATAACAAAATATAGAGTGGATGGCTTATAAGCAACAAAAATTTACTTCTCACAGTTCTGGAGACTAGGAAGTCCAAAATCAAGGTGCCCACAGATTTGGTGTCTGGTGAGGGCCCACTTCCTCATAGATAGCCTCTTCTGACTATAACTTCACATGGTGAAGGGGTGAAGGATCTTCCTGGGGCCTCTTTTATAAGGGCACTAATCCCATTCATTAGAGCTCTGCCCTCATGACCTAATTACCTCCCAACAGTCACACCTCCT